GTGTGTGTGTGTGTTTGCATCGTGTGTTTTGCTGATGAGGTGAGATGTTTGGACCTGAGGTGGGCGGAGTTAACAGTCCTGACAGCTGAAGCTCTTCTGCTGTGTGTTCACCTTGATGTGACTTTACTTCACTTTGATTTTCCTTTTAGATTAAATTAAATGTATATCCTTATGTTGCCTCTTTGTTGTTTGTCTGGTAGATAAATAGATAAATAGTTTCTACTAGTAATCTGTTGTTGTGTTTATGCTGCTGGAGGTCACTGTGAAGGACCATGTGATGCTTTAGAATAAAAATGATGACTGCTCTTGCTTTTCAATGTTATTAAATATATACTGACTTTACTGTATTCTTGATTTTAGACACAAATGTCAATATCTACGGAGCCCCTGAAGTCCCAAAATTTTGAAAAAAAAAAATTGCGCAAAAGATTTTTTGTTACTTTTTGGGCTCTGTACACATCTGCATTTACAAAAAAGCATGATAACTACAACACAGAGACAACAACATGAGGATGGAATCAGTACAGTTCTGAAGACATTTGTACCAAAAAGTAAAAAACAACAACAACAACAACAACAACAACAACAGTAACTGAAAGAAGCGTCAGTGTGGTGGTTTAAAAACAAAATGGATCCTGAAAAGATAATCCTGTTTGAATTCATCTTGACTGATACTGTCATGATGTCTTACTGTAGGACAATTTTCCAGTTGGGGGGGGGGGCTTTGCTCTTTAGGCCTTTAGGAGGGTTGTAGGTTTTAGATCAGGGACTCAGACTATGAAGTGATCTGCTCTCATTAGCTTTTATATTTTGTCTTGATTATCTGAATTGAGTCACGTGCCTACCTGCCCGAGGACTGCGGATGGAATAAAACGAATCAGCTCAATCTGGACCAATGCATCTCCTCTCTCTCTCCTCTCATTCACCGAGAGTCATCTAGATTTGGAAGCCTACATGGTCCTGGACGAATTCAAAACTAAACTAAATTTATATCAACATATTCTTTTACAGCAGCATCGAAACTGCTTAATATATATTTTTATCTAAAGGGAACGTTTTGCAGGTTATTTTATTTAAATGTTATTTCTTGGACTCGTGACTAAATAAGACAATTTAAAAACAAAATTTCTGCTAAACTGGGATGAAGCCAGAGCTGTAATTTAAATCAAACAATGATTCAGAGTTTATCTGTAAACACAAAAAACAAAAGTCCCCCCATAGCTCATTCCTTCTTCTTCTCTGTAACACTTCTACCATAATAATTAAAGAGGCCTTATTATTTATTAATAACTGTGCACAGCTCTGTAGGGTTGATGTAATGATGTATTTGTTTGTGTGGTTGTAAGCTTCTATAAGAATGAAGAGCAGATAAATCGTTATAAATTATTTACTGATGCTCAATTTGTCCTGAAAACTTAATTCTTCTTAATTTGTGATTTTTTTTTTGTCGCTAGAAAAGAAGATTTGAACGCGTTTACTTCCTGCTCCTCGTTATATGAACCGACATTTCCTCTTCCCAACGTGTGCCGGTGATTTATATTTTCCCGGAGAATGCAGCTCTCACGCGCCGCCACCAGAGCCCGCTTCAGACCAATAAGAACGAGCTCGAGAGCCCCCGCGAGCCCCACACTCTGCACGCGCCCCCGTCTGTTTGAATCCTCACCGTCGATAACCTGTAACAACCTCCCAGCCTGTGGCTCGCTGTTTAAATACACACCTGTCACACCTGTCACCGAGTTCTCTCCTGATTAATGACGAGGACGAGCATGCGCACAAGTCTGCCTGTAGATGTGGGAGATAAAAGATATTAATTCCTGCTCCTCTCCAGATATCTTTCTGCTTTCTGCCCCTTTTCCTGCCGGAGGGGGGGGGGGCAGAGCTGCAGCAAGCAACACTCCGAGTGGGTTTTTATCAGGAGCTCAGGCTGCGTGGATGCGCCAGGTTCACAGAGTTAAAGGGTCAAAAGTTGAACGTCGTGCGTGAGTTCCGCCCTCGCCTTTTCACTCACTCCCCTCCAGACCAGCCCCTGGATGTCAAAGGCAAAAAGCGAGGGAGGGGAAGGGGGGGGGGGCACAGATGAGAGAAATGATAGCAGAAGGCAAAGGAGAGGTGAAGGCCTGACCTCCTCTTCCCTTCCCCGGTAACAGAGACAAAGCTCCTCCTCCCGCCGCGGCGCACACAGGGAGAGATGAAGGGAGAAGAAAGGCAGGAAAAATGGAGGGGAGGGAGGTGTGGAGAGGGAGGGGGGGGGCGGAAGGTATTCGGTGACATGGAGGTTGGGTAGGTGGGTGGATGTCCAGGGGGGGTGCAGGTGTTTGGCTACACATTTAGTTCACACCGGCTAACATTTGTAGTTCATATGAGAGAGGGGGGGGGGGGGGGGGTCAAAGAGGGTTTTCTGTTTGATTTTATTGCCACGAGCTCAAACTACAAACCGAGCTGCAGAAAAAAAAGCAGGCAGTGAATATAAAAGCAGCTTAACACCATCTCAGAATGTCTTCATGATTATTGGATTTAGGAGTTTTTCTTAAATTGAGGATTTGAATGGAGAAGGAAAATCACGTGAACGCTTTACCTAAAAGGCCACGAGGAGCCTTCCCTTTTTTTAAACAGATAAAACACACAGATCTAAGATTAGTTATAGGATCATTTAAACATGCAAGCTGACAATGTTCAGGTAGAGGAGTTTTATTTCATTGGGGTGAAAACACGAGTCTAAAGATTCTGTCTGTTAAAAACAAGTCAGGCATCGATATTCATTTTGAATATATGAGAAGCTCCGTTAACGAGTCTGTGTGTGTGTGTGTGTGTGTGTGTGTGTGTGTGTGTGTGTGTGTGTGTGTGTGTGTGTGTGTGTAACCAGAGGTCTGAGTGTGTAAGTGTTGGTTTTTCAGCTCGCAGTAAACTTCTATTTATAATCCTGCAAACCTCGGCTCTTCCTCTCTGCGGCCTTATCACCGCCTCGCTGTCAAAAACAAACTCTTATCTTCCTCAACCCTCCAAAAATATTACTCCGCTTATCAGGTTTTCCACTACAAGATTAATGTGTACTCCCCCCCCACACACACTCTTTACTTTGAGCTGAGAAGAATGAGCCTCAAACCTTTTTTCCTTCTTCTGTGAATTCCTCTATTTCTGAGTAAGAAAGAAGCTGTAACTGTTTCTCCTGCAACAACAACACTGTGAAAATATGAATAACTAATAATATAAATAACGAAAATAATAATGCAATACTATGTGACATGTCAGCCACTGATACACGACATGTAAATGTACATTAAAAGGTTTAATGTTTTGTCGCGTCACTTTTCAGACAGTGCAAATTAAAAACTAAAAGTTAGACAGAGGGGAGTTTAAAAAGACGAAATAAGAAGCTGATTGGAGGAGAGATTAATATCACACTTATTTATATTTATATTTATATTTTCTACAAACTGAACCTCCTCAAGATCAGCTGACCTGACTGAGGAAAATGTATTTATTTTCACCGAACTCCTGTTTGTGTTGGAGCTGCTTTGTGGAGACAGAAAAAAAGGAAGATGAGTCTCAGAAGAGGAGCTAAAAAATAATTCAGTAAATGAATAATCCTTTTAATGACGTACACACACACACACACACACACACACACACACACACACACACACACACACACAAAAGGTAATGGGTGAATAACTACGTTACAGATTCCATCTTTCTCCAAAGGTTCATCCTGAGTTCAACAAATCAATTCAATTAAGGCCGCAGCGCGCATGCGTTAAGCGTGACCGAGAGTCCTAATAATCTTTACCGTTTGCACGTGCATAGACTCAATAAAACGTCACACACGGATATCACGTTATTTATCCTTATATTGAGAGAGGACACTATATTTACAGAAACAGAATAAACCTGCACCGAGTCATTGATCACATAAATCAGCTGTTTCCGGTGAAACGATGATATTCAGTGACAGTATAAATGAGCAGAGAGGAGTGTGGACATATGGCTGCTCTCTCCGGGCTGCAGAGGGTCGAATAACATCGATATTAATCCACCTGATACCTCCGTGTCTGCTCCAGAGCCCGTTAAGTAGACTCAAAACGGTTGTTTATACGCACTAAGCTGCAACGCAACACATTTGTTTCTGGAATACTTGATGAACATGAAGCCTGCGAAGTGATGCTGCGGTTTCCCTGCTGCGGGCTCTCGTGTCATTTATATTTATACAACAAAAGGAGATGGAGAAATGATCCTGGAAGAAAAGAAAAAAAATGTGTGAGAGAGAGAAGAAAGAGACCCCCCTCCCTCCTCACATCTACTGACCATTTTTCTTCAAAGTAATGACTCCAACTCGATTTAGTATGACGGAGAGAGAGAGAGGACAAAATGACAGAGAGAGAGAGAGAGAGAGAGAGAGAGAGAGAGAGGTGGAAATGGCAGAAAGAAAGGGTGTGGAAAAGGGAGGGGGTGAGTGAGTGAGTGAGAGAGAGGGAGGGAGAGGGAGGGGGGCTGTGCTCGGGGTGAACGGGAGGTCAGCGCGTCTCTCCAATATTAAAATGTGTACCGGGGACGCGGGGTGACACGCCTCGCCCGTTAAACAAAGAGTGTGCCAAACTGGCAGATTAATTTGAAAACTTGAGTCCGTGCACACACACACAACACTTAATGCCTTAAAGAGCCAACAGTCTCCACAGCAGCCCTGCTCGCGCTCCCTCAGCCCCGAAACGAGACGCTGTAACACCGGGAAACACGCGGCACAGCCACCGGTGAGGGGGGGATTTCCTCTGTCATTTCACGCAGATGTGATCCGGTTTTACGCACGGAGTGTCCGGAGCTGTTTTGTAGTTTCCTCTGGATTAATTTGTTCCAAACATGCAGCGTTACTGCGTTCATTCAAAGACGAATCGTGTCAGATACACAGCCATGTTTACGCAAACCGGAGACCGGAATGTGTGCGTGTGCGCGTGAGCGGGGGTGTCCGCGGAAATGACAGCGCTCTTTCTTTTTTTTTCCTTTTTAAGATAGCACGAAGATTCCCGAAGAGGTCAAAAAACCTGTGGCGTCAGAAGGAAGGGGAGGGAGAGAGAGAGAGAGAGGAGACACAGGAGCACAGCTGTCGATGTGTTGGAGGATTAAAGAAGAAAAAGAAAACGCAGAAGAAGAAAGAGAAGAAGAAGTGATAACTGTGGAAATGGATGCGACGACGCGGGAAAGGAGAGGAGGATTCACGCGCTGCAGAGGAGTGAGTACACAAAAAAATCTCCTTGTAGAAGAGGAAGCTGCCTCATTTGCATTCCGTGTGTGTGTGTGTGTGTGTGTGTGTGTGTGTGTGTGTGTGTGTGTGTGTGTGTGTGTGTGTGTGTGTGTGTGTGTGTGTGTGTGCGTGTGTGTGTGGCAGGTGCTTTGCCCACGCTGCGCAGAGAGGAAGGGGACAGAGCACGTGTTGCAGGAGCTTCCTCCTCTTCCTCCTGATTTTTTTTTTTTTAACATAGTTTAATTTGAAAATGAGTCATCGATTAGGATGTTTTGATCGACTATTGGCTACATGTGTGACGTCACTACCTGCTTTAAAAACTGGATTATTAGTTAGCATGATTGAGACACTGACAAGTTGGTAACAATGTTCGACACACACACACACACACACACACACACACACACACACACACACACACACACTATCAGCAGTACCCAGCTGCCTGAGGTGAAGGCGAGGTCGTGGTCAGTTGAAGGTTAAATGTCACGCTGGACAACTTTCTCCTCTTAAAGCTCGGATCAGTTTGGAAACGTTTTTCCTGCAGATTTTAAAATCTTAAATATTCTGTAAAAGCTGACACGTTCAATGCTCATGATTTAGTTTTTATATCTGTCTCTGTTTCTGTTTGGAAAACCCTCAAACAGCAGCGAAGTGAATGTGAGGATGTGAATGTTTTTACAGTTTTAATATCAAAGTGGATTTAAACTAGAGGCATGTTTGCTTCCTCATCTGGAGCCTCCTGCTGCTTGTTTGGGTTTTTATCACTGCATCCAGATTTGTGGTTTTCTGCTTTTGGTTGCGACTCGAGCATGTTGTCAAAATGAGCTCGTGTGTTTAGAAGCTGTTTGATTTAGTCCTGCTGATGTTTTATTTATTATAAACTATCTGTGGAGGGAGACGCTCTCATAACTACAACACGCGTTTAATAGAAATATTGTGCTCATGCTGCAAACCACCAACTGTGTGTTTAACAACCAGTTTAACAACCAGTTCATGAAGAAAAAAATTAGATATTTGAGTGCAAATATTTGGCACAGATAATTATTCTATTGATGGGATCAGAAGAGCTGCAGGACGCGTTTTCTGCACGTTTGTTTCTTCGTTTAAAAAAACGTTTTGCTCAATTAGCAAAGACATAAAGAGGTTTATCATGGTGTGTGTGTGTGTGTGTGTGTGTGTGTGTGTGTGTGTGTGTGTGTGTGTGTCGACAGAATTTAGACTAAAAAGAGGAGGAACATTTGGACATGTGAACGACAGCAGCGGTGTGTTTTGGTCGTTCTGCAGGAGATTCTGTCTCTTTATCGTCGTGTTTTTTTCTGTATATATATTTCTAGTTATTCTACCAGTTTTTGTTTTTTTTGCAGGCTGCTGCTTTGTGAAATAACGAGTCTCATTTCTCGAGCTCCACAAAGCTCTCTAATAAACCACCTTTAGATTAATCCTGTGCACACGGACAGGCCTGTGCAGAGCGCCATTCTTCCCTCCGCGTTACTTTGCATGACAATAACCGGAGGAGCTCACCGAGATGTATTTTTCAAACTGCACAAAGGAGCAAAAACCACATTTCTCTTCTGCGTCTCTGTCCCTGTAGCTTTTTCACCTCGGTCATATTTCAGATCTCTGACAAGTCCGGCTGCTGCACATAATGACGCCGTTTAACCCTTCAATATGGTGCACTTGATTTTTCACTGCGATGTAAGGCCTCTCTGTGGATCTCACAGGTTCCAGGCGACGATTACAAAATGAAATGCAGCTAACACAAACACTAAGAAATAATTATTCCTTTAGCATATTTACGGAGTGAGTACTCTGAGAATAATTCTTACATTTTATTCCTCCCTTTGCTGAGAAAAAAAACTTGAGTCTTACCTCAAAATTCATCCACATTTATCCTTTTGAGACGGAACATTTAATCCCAGTTTGCAGCAGCAGATTGAGAATGAAGGAGCGGAGTGTCTGCATCTTTTCTCACAACAACTGAGAGTCTGTGATGGACAAACTGGTTAAAGAAGGGTCGTAAATTTCGGACTGTAAAGTTATTTATTCACCCCGGCTCTCTTCCGCTCCCTGAATATTTTATTGCTTTTTTTTTTATTTCACCCCCTCCCTCAAAGAAACATTGAAGCTTCCCTGTGAGTGTTTGTTTCGAGCTGTAAACGGAACTGACCCGCAATAAAAGACACTTGTGTAAATCCAGATGCGCTGACCTTTCCCCCTCTCTCTCTCTCTCACACACACAGTGTCTCTCTCTTTCTCTGATATCACATCTTAATGTTACAGCAGAGACGAGCCGTAGTTGCATTCTCTGCAGCAGCTGCTGTGTGTTTGAAAACAGAACAGCTAACATTTATTAAATTCAAATAAAAACGCAGGGTAATGTTTGTTTCGCTTTTTTTTTTTTTTGAAACCAACTGGTGAATTTAATTTACGTTGTTGTGCCATGAGAGCTTCCTGGTGTATTGACATAAATCTATCCGGTGTGTTTTTGGTTTTATCTTTTAAAAATCTTTGTTTTGCGCATTGACCTCTACCTGCAGCCGGATACAAAAGCCCCCCCCCCATCCCCCACCTCCCTGCACTGAAAGGCTGCTGCTGACAAACTTGACAGAGGTGAAGGGAAGTGCCTCAGTCAGACTCAACACACCTTGATCGATACCTGAGATGACCCGCAGCAGAGCGCGAGGTCAAGGTGACGGGCACGCCCACACCTGCGCACAAAGGAGCAGAATTGAAAAGAACATGAGAGCATATTCCACCGGGTTGTTTTAAATGTTTTAAAAAAATAACAGAATATGTGCAGAACAGAAACAGGAAATAGAAGCAGGTTGTTTTTGTTCTGGTGAGGTATGAGCAACTTTCGGAGGAAACCGTGAACAGCAATATTGCCTGCAGCGCGGAGGGAGTGTCGGTGTCACAAAATCAATGTGGGAGCAGCACAGATGGAAAATTACACGTTTCTACACCTGAGCGCGTGAAGAACCTCAATGTGCATCAAGACATTCTCAGTTATGAAACCAGTTTTATTTTAATGGATGCATTAAAGATGTCTGAAGGCCTCCTCTGTGATTTTATGGGCACGAAAATAGTTTGACTTTTGCTTTTTACTAGAATGGATATCTAGATAAGAAAAAAGAACAGGCCATGTGTGTGTGTGTGTGTGTGTGTGTGTGTGTGTGTGTGTGTGAGTCTCATTTTAATTCATTTAAATCAGACTTTTAGAGACAGAGTCCAATTCATTTAGCTCAGTGGAGGGCCATTTATTCATTTATCTTCAGTCAGATGTTTCAGAATCATTTTTGATAGCAGCGCGTGTCTCGTGCCAACCGATCTGTCTTTTCTTTCATTAACTTGTGTTCACTCTGTTAGAACCGGCCTCGCTTTCAGCTGCCAACATCTTCTTTTTCTTCTTCTTTTGGATAATTAAAGTGTGCACGCGGAGTTACACTCTGCTCATTACGTGGATGGAAAGCTTTCAGATTATTTTCATTTTGAATAAAAGATTCGTTAAAAACAGAAAATGACCAGAGGAGTTTTAGAATTCACAAAGAGAGGAGGGGAAATATGTGCCAACGAAAAGAGGCCTGAGATGATCTTTAGATGATTTGAATTCTTCTCTTAAATATGGAGGGGATCATATTTAAAATCATAAATCAGGTTTTAAATGTCTGCATGCTTTTCTATATTAACACAGATTTAAGAAACGGAAATAAATATCGGAACATGCACATCCGGTTAAAACAAAAAGAGAAGGCCTTTTATTTTTAGATGCACGATTTAAACCAGTTTCTTATTAAATACTGCGCGTGCAAACATATTTTAAATTCACCTTTAAATCAGTTCTGACCCCACACGTCCCCCTCTGTCTCCTCCACATCTGCAGCGTGTTAGAATAAATAAACGGAAACGAAACTACTCGTTTTATTTACTCCTCTCTGTTACATTTCTGTTTTATTTCATGTTAGAGCTTACAGGAAGTGTTACAGCTCTATTCCCCTGATGACCCCAGCAGAGAGAGAGAAGGGGGGGGGGGGGTCAGGGGTCGGAGACAGTACAGATGGATGAAAATATTCCAGTAAAGCTGCAGCGACAGGGACTTTATGAAGCAATAAAAGGTGTGTGAACCTCCAGAGAGCCGCTGTCTTCTATATCTACCCTGTAGATCCGGATTTGTGTACAAATCATTACAACAATCACAAATTCGCTTCTAGGGGAGTATATAGTGGATTTAAACACGACGGCAGCGATGGATCCACCGCACAGAGGAGAGGCCTGCAGCCCTAATAACGGCCTTTATTCACAGCATCTGCTGGGTTTAATCTGTAAAAATGTAAGAATAAATAAATAAAAAGCGTACAATAATTTATTTATACCACGAGTGTGTTTGTGTTTATTCTGACGCGCATGCGTGTTGGGAATCTTTTCTCCTCCAAACTGATGAAAACTCGTTCAAAGTGTTTCTGTACTTTCTTTTTTCGATCCCGGTCTAAAGGCCAACTCCGGGTTGGATTGGACTCTTTTTATTTATTATTGGTCCTGTTTGAAAAATGATGCGTTCAGGCTTACTGTTCATCATGGGGGGGGGTTGGGAGGAGGCAGCAAGGTTTCGATTTAGAGACGGTCAATTTTCTGGAAACAAAGGACTTGGATATCTCCATCATCTTGCCTGTGTGTGTGTGTGTGTGTGTGTGTGTGTGTGTGTGTGTGTGTGTGTGTGTGTGTGTGTGTGTGTGTGTGTGTGTGTGTGTACGCGCACCTGAAGTCCTGATAACAGTAAAGAAAGTGCACACTCCCTCTGATAAAGAAACCCTCTCTGTTCTATCCTCTGCAGTGGTTCTTGTTTTACAGAATATTTGATGTTGCAGATTTATTTTGTATTAAAGTGAATTAAATGTAGAATCCGTTCAGTACAGATGCTGGAATGAATCATGATTATTTCTCTTCCTGCTGCCTGTGCGTAAAAGAGGTGAAGGCCTTTTATGGTGTTTTCTGTGTTTTAAAGGAGTAGAAGAGAGACGTTGTGTTTGACATGTTCGTGTGATTTTAAACAGTAAAACGAATCTGCGAAGCAGCTCGTGTGTGTGAGGGTGAGAATCTATTCAGGGGTGAAAACAAAACGCTTCTTTATCTCGCAGCTCAAGGGCAAACGCAGCAGAACAGCGTGGAAGCTGCTGTGTGACTTGTTATTCTGAAGATGTTCATTTGGAAATAATTCTGTTTCTTGATGCAAAGCAGAGCCGCGCGCGAGGCTGAGGCTCAATTAACATGCGAGGAGAGTTTAAATGTGCGCGTGGTGGAGTAAAAAAAGGTGCTGGATTCTCGTCCCCTAATGCAAAGGTCTGCTGGTGATTTAGGAGAGCGTGTAACCTGAATTAGTTGATGAATTTTCTATCGATCCTAAACAAGCCAGATTTATCTCTGACACGCGCGGAGCTGCTGGGTGGCCGCGCGCCCACTCCCGTTATTAGCCATTTGGAAAGAACAGAGAAGAAGAAAAAAAAAAAGGAGAGAAGCTCTGGCAAGCCCGTCTGTACACACACCCAAATATACACACACTCCCAAATACACACACAGAGGGAGGTGCAGGCGCCACTTTAAATCCCCGCGAGCGCTTTCTTTTTTCTGTTTGCTTTCTTTTTTTTTTTTCCTGAGAAGCTGCAGCCAGACGCGGAACAGGGGGAAAGGGTTCGTTTGACTTGTCATCTGGACTGTACTCTACAGCTCGTGCGTGTCCGTGCGCGCGCAACGCTACGTGTTATTGTTGTGATTCTCTGAAAACATGAGAGAGTGGGGCGCGAGAGGGGAAAGTACTGAGGCCATATGATGATGCGCGTGCGGGGGCCGTATATGCTTAATCCCATTTCCTTATCCGGGGTCCGTCCTAGAGGCGCGCCATTGGCCGGCTGCCGTCACGTGGCTTCTTAACTTTGTTCACTTGACAGAAAAGTAGGAGGGTTCAACGGAACAGGAATAAGCGAAGAGTAAAGGGATGAGATATAAATTTTAGTTATATATTTTCAGAGTAGGTGCAATTCCACAAAAAGAGTGAAATTAATGGCCATGAGCTCCTATTTGATCAACTCCAACTATGTGGACCCCAAGTTCCCCCCGTGCGAGGAGTACTCTCACAGCGACTATCTGCCCAACCACTCTCCGGACTACTACAGCTCCCAGCGGCAGGAGCCCGCCGCCTTCCAGCCGGACTCTCTCTACCATCACCACCGAGCCGAGCCGCCCTACACGCCGTGTCAGCGTGGTGGGCAGCCCGCCTCGGTGGTGATGTCCCCGCGGGGTCACGTTCTCCCCCCGGCCGGGATTCAGACCACCCCCGTCCCGGAGCAGAGTCACCGCTGCGACTCGGTGACACCCAGCCCGCCTCCCCCTCCATCCTGCGGACAAACACCCCACAGCCAAAGCACTTCGTCCCCCTCCAGCACCCGTAAGGACCCGGTGGTGTACCCGTGGATGAAGAAAGTCCATGTAAACATCGGTGAGTGAGCATGCTAACTTGTTCCTCTCTCTCTCTCCCCTCTCTGCCTCGCTGCCTTTGTGCGCTCAGCTAGGTGTCCACCGTCAGGATCTACGGCTTCCCCTCCCTGTTTCTGCTACAAGAACACGAGTAGCCCTTGGGTCAAGATTTACGATCGTCTGTTTGCAGGGCCAATATAATTACACCCTCCATAAATTTTTATTACACCTCTCCGCTGAGGAGCCTTTTGAAGTCCGATCTCCGGCTCGTCTGCTCGGATTCTTCTCCTTATGACAACTCAGCCGAGCCCATAACTTAGATTTTATGCTTCTGTAATTTGATTTTAAGTGGTGTGCTTGTGTAAACGGTGTACTTTACTCTGTCGAGCCTTCCTTCCCCTCTCGTTGTTCAGAGGAGGGAAAGTTTTATGGCAGCTGAAATATTCATGTTTATGGAGTCGGCCGTAAAACACTAATGCAGAGCCGAGCAGCTCCACTGTGTTATGGCCTCTCTGTGATGGTGTAGTACACTCACAGCCTTCTGCGTACTGGGAGAACTGGGACGCGTTTCTGCGCGGCGACAAAATGTCACAATCAAAAAGTCAGTGTGACGTTTTTACCCGGTAAGAAAATCTCTCCTCTATTTTTTTTTTAATCGTTAGTTATAGCTGCTGCGCTCCGGTTCTAGTTTTTAGGATTTGTTGAATCATTACCCAGGCGGCCATTCAGTGCCGTCGTGCTGCTTCACCCTCCCCTCCACCTCTCCTCTGTTCTCCACCAGTCACTGCTCTGAGTGCTCGAGAGAAAGAAAAGAGGACTGCTCCTTTAGCTCGCCTGTTGCTTTCTTTATGCTTCTATATTTTCACGCGTGAACGTGTCAGGACGACGTGGCCCAGATTTGCCCCCCAAATCACAACATTTGGACACCAGCGTCAGAGCCGGCTGTGCGGGGAGGATTCACTGCGCCGCAGGGCCTGAAGTGACACCTGACAACATGTGGGGAGAGAAGAGAGAGAAAAGCGTCAGATTGTCAGGAAAGTGTAAAATAAACGAGTTCAGATGTAACAGCTGAAAGCTCAGACATAACGAGAGTCCCAGAGAGGAAAGAGGAGAGAGAAGAGGAGAGAGAAGAGGAGAGCGGCGTCACAGGCTCTGCCAAGGTTACAGCCATTTTGTGCTCCTCACAGCGGCTCCTCTCCGCGGGGGTCAGGACACGTTTCTCCGCGTTAGAGGCTCAGACTGCACGGAGAATGTTCTTAGTGTGAAACGAACTCTTAGATTTACTTGTTGTGTCATCATTAATACAATTCCCTATTAGATATTAAATCTTCGTTTTTAAGAAAAGGCGGTTTAGTGTTCATCACAAAGACAATTAAAATGTTTTACGGTTTAAAGTGTTGTGTAATAATGGAGTCATTGACTTCTGATTGTTTTTACTGTTTTTATTGTTGAAATAATTAAAAGAATATCTAGCAATTATATTTTATTATCAGCAATTTTTAGTAGCATTAGTACCACTAATAGAAACATTGTAGGTTTTATTATAATCCTATTATTCAATAATAATTTGATATATTCATTTATATTTAATTGCATTTGTGCTTGTTTAACATTTGAACCTTCGTGTCTCTATTGATCGTTATCTCCTCCCTCTTCTCCTCAGTGAACCCAAACTACACGGGGGGAGAGCCGAAGCGCTCGCGGACGGCCTACACGCGCCAGCAGGTTCTGGAGCTGGAGAAGGAGTTCCACTACAACCGGTACCTGACGCGCAGGCGCAGAGTGGAGATCGCGCACACGCTGGTGCTGTCGGAGCGGCAGATCAAGATCTGGTTCCAGAACCGGAGGATGAAGTGGAAGAAGGACCACAAGCTTCCCAACACCAAGGTCCGCTCCGCCTCCAACAGCAGCAACACAAACTCCCAGAGCCACACCGGGCCCCTATAGCCCGGTAACAGCCCGGTAACAGCCCGGTAACAGCCCGGTAACAGCCCGGTAACAGCCCGGTTCTCTGGCTCTTTGGCTCACTTTGTGTCCCTCCCTGAAACTGAACGTCGACGCTTGTAACCACCGGAGCCCGAACTTTGGACCGGATTAAAGGCTTTGCTGTGGAGGGAGGGATGCTCGGCCCTGATCTATGCTGATGATATACACACTATAATAATATGACGTGATGACGTGGGAGGGGTGGAGGGGTGGAGGGGGAGAATCTCCCATTCATAAAAATATGAAACGAACAAAAGAAGGAGACTGAAAGAAAACACCGCTACAGCTTCTTTGCTTCTATCGTCAAATCTCTCTCTCTCTCTCTCTCTCTCTCTCTGCCTTTTATATCTCTCTCTTTTTATACCTCTCTCTCTCTCTCTCTCTCTCTCTCTCTCTCTCTCTTTATGCAGGCTGAGGATTATGTGCCCGCTCTTCTCTCTGAGTTTTTATTTCGTTGAAGATGGATCCTCGTTTTCATCTTTAATCATGCCAAACTCTGCTCCCATTTGTCATGTTTACTCTGCGGGTACAAAGCAAAGGGGTGAACCGCGGTTCTGCCCATTACCACCACCCCCCCCCCCCCCCCCCCAAAAAAAAAAAACCTGCACCCCTCCAACCCCATAAACACGCGCGTGTAATAAATGGAAGCATCGTTTCGTCACGAGCAGTATTCTTACACAAACACGTTCATATCTTACTCTTAACATCCAATAATATAACCCGCGGAATGATCCACGAAGACGCCATGTTGTTGTTGTTGTTTCTGTTGATTCTAGTTCTTTTTTGAATTCAGTGTTGATTGTAAAGAAAAGGTCCGATGATTGTTCATTTTGTGTTCTGGATGTTAGCAGACTGAATTGAAGGTATTTTCCACTACAGACAAACAAACAGGGTGAACTAAAGAAAGGAGAATAATATCCAAAGCTAAATCCTGGTACAAGTAGCAGAACACGTTCAAAACGCAGCACTATACAATGTACTACCTATTACCTCAGTTCTATAAATATATTTTTATCTCTTTGTTTTCTCTCCTGCTCGTTCAATGAAGTGACAGCTTTTCGAGCTTTTATATTTTTTTAAATTGTGTGACGACTTATTATTAAAATGATTATTATAATTATTACCTGCAATACGATAAAAAGCGCTCTTCATTTTCTTGTTTGTGGATCTTTTAAGGAGCAGATGTAATTTAATTGGAAGCGGTTGTTTGTGTTTCCTGCATGTCTGAATGTTTTCTTCTTTGTCTCTTTGTTTGCTCGCTCATTAAATGCGCACACTCCTCTCCTCTGTTCTGACTCCTCTTTAGATATTTTATTCTCCAAGTGTTTTTTTTTTTATTGATGTTATTTTATTTACATTCCAAAGATCCGTTTCTATGATGATGAAAACGATGATGACGGTGTTGTTGAACATGTGTTACCTCCTCCTCTCTCTGCTTCTGCGTCCTCAGTGTCTTCCTATTATTTGTAAATAGTTCATAGAAATTTAAATAAATGGCTAAAAAGAATCCTCTTCTATCCTGGGTTTTCTTCTCTATAATCTAAATGTTGTTAATGTCAGAAGGTTTCCGGGTTTGATGATGTCATGAAGTGTTTGAATTATTGATTAATTTGCATATTTTTTTACTGTATTGAAAAATGTTCTTGTTTTAAAACGCATCAGAAGAATTCCTCTCTGCAGCTCTCTCCTCTCTGAGGTTTAAAATATGTGTTTAAAGCATGCACCCGCGCGCTCTCTCCTGCACACTCACACACACAATAAATAATTTCATTTAATTTCACTGTTGTTTTTTTTTCTTTTGCCTACAAACGCAGCGCGACCTGTCTGCAGGAATCAGCAGCCTGCGATGATGAATCTGTCCCGGCCCTGAGTGATCTTGGTACATTACGTCCTGTAATCTCGTTTTAAATCACAAACCGTCCCTCCGTTTCACTCTCGTTCTCCCGTTAATTTAACGGCTGCTCACACGCGCCTGCACCCCCCCTCCTCCCCCTCCCCCCCTCCCTTCTTGTTCTGGTTCTGCAGAGGAGGAAAAAACCGTTAAATAGTTTCTCGGTTCGTGCTCTTTTAATGCTTTAATGAGTGTAATTCTTGCACAACATTTTTTTCTTCCTATCGGTGTTTTCTGGAGCGAGGCTGCACGCGCATGTGTGTTTTATTTTTTATATATTACAAAAAGGGGAGAGGGCCGGCGCCATAGCTCAAACCCTGACAACCAAATAGATAATCAACAAGACGAATGGCTTCTTTTGTAAGGCGCGGCTCCCGTATTAATTTTCATTTTCTTTTCTTAGAGCAGGTATCGAAAAATATAGAGCACGAGAGGGGGAGCGCGAGAAAATAGCATTCCTCTCGATGAACTTTAAACAAAAAAAAGTGTGCCCCCCAAATTGGTCCGCTCGTATTCCTCGGCCCAGAGAAGATTCCCTATTACTTGTTGGTTGATTTCTCCCTGGGCCTCTTGCCACAGAGACTCCCCCTGCCCATTTATCTGTTTTCTTCCTGTTTATGAAAGGCTCCCCCAGCGCAAAACCTCCTATCAAACTGTATACACACACACTCACACACACACACACACACACACACACACACACACACACACACACACACACACACACACACACTCATAGACACACACGCTCACTGCACCAAAACAAAAGCCTACATGTATTTTCAAACATTTCGCTGTTTCTTTACCGCAAAAATCAATTTTTCTTGCCTCTTTATTTTATTTATTTTCCTATTAACCGCTCTGCTCCAAACACCACCTTCTCTCTGCAGAACTAATTCCCAGCTGCAGAAAACGATCCACACATTTATAATATATATATATATATACACACACTGTATTTTCTCTTTATAGTGAACTCTATAAGGTTTAATACGCTGCTCCCTCAGGCTGCTCCTCTCTCACTGAAGATAATATTTGTGTCCATATGCTCTTATTTCTGCCACACACCAATTGTCCTATATTAGAGCATCTAAAAAGACACCCCCAACCCAATATTCACACACACATATGTGCCTCCACAATAACCCCTGAAGCCCCTGAAGCCCCCCCTGAGCTCCGGCGATCCGAGGTGAAATAAATGAATTTGCGCGCGAGGTGACACGTGCACAATAAGGAATCCTTATTCTTTTTTCTGCTCCTTTATCAGCCGCGGCCTTCTGCTGCTTCTCTGAATGGGAGCAGATTTTTGTGAGGATGCCCACTCCCCCCCTCCCTGTCTGAAAAAGTTCACCGCCATTATTTTGCGGACAGGACAGAGGGGACGGCACCTCAAGAAAAATGCGAGAATTATACAAGAAGAAATCATTAATCACTTGTTCTTCTTTAAACACTTCTTCTTCTTCTTCTTCTCTATTGTCATCCGGCAGCCACACACAAGACCCCTTCTGCCAGGAGAGAGAGACAGACAGAGGAGGAGGAGAAGAAGACGTCTTGGAAGACACTTGGAAACCCCCCCCACCCCCCCCCCCCCCCCCCCTCACACACACACACACACACACACACACATAAACACTCATACACACACCTCCCCTTCCCACCCATCAGCAAGCTATTTTTTACACCCCACAAGTATCCTACTATAAGAAAAAACTTTTTTCTTCGTCATTGGAAAGAAGAAAATCCTTCTAAAGAAACTCAAACAGTCAGAGAGCCGGCTGCGCGCGGAGGACGATGGCCCGCAGGTCGCTTCACGTGCTGCTTAAGGTAAGAGGCCTGGAAACTTCATTTTCTCTCCTCTCACTCTGTCCCTCTGCTCAAGTGTCTGATGCCCCGGTGGCGTTTTTATGGTTTTATTGCCCCCTGCGCATTTGGCGAGGTCAGGCGAAGGGGGCATTTATGGCCGTGGGGGCTTTGATTTTAGCGCAGGGACTTTTGGTTGGTGCTGGAAGGTGTGTGTGTGTGTGTGTGATGACGGGCTTGTGTTGATCTCCTCAGTTTGTGCAACTGTCCCCGTTTGCTGTGTTGGTGTCACTTCTGCGTCTGTCACGAGGCCTCTTGTGCATTTGTTCAAATGTCAAATGAGAGTTTTACGCACAGGTTGGGTAGATAGATACGATGACATTTGTTATATTTTATGATCATTTGGATTCGGCTGAACGTGTTTTTTTATTAGCAGGTTTCCTGTGATGTAATTGGATAACACAGTGCATGTACATGGTTGTATGAGTTCAGAAAAAAATCACAAACGCTGCAGCTAATTGATGATAGAATTGTCTCAGTGAATAATTCCCGGTTCACCACCCGGAGCTTATTATGCGTTTTCTTTCTGGGCTGTGTTTCACTGGTTATAAAGTGTTGCTGAGGTTTAGGCCTATAGCTTTTAATGAGATACTGTTGCATAGGTGTGTGTGTGTGTGTGTGTGTGTTCCAGGTGCACACAGCTAGGCTGCAGCAGGAATATGAATAATACTGCGCTCAATTGGAGAGAGGGATGCAGGGGAGGAGGGAGGGTGAAAGAGAAAAATTAAAAGAAGTGATGGGGGGTTGCTGGTTAATGGATACTCTCTCGGTTGCGCTCCAAAACAATTTAGCTGGAAAACAAACGATCTGCGCAGCGCGCTCAGGCCTCTGGTATCTGCTGAGGCGAGCAGCAGCGGCCTCAGGAAGCCGCTCACTCCTGTTTGACCTCGACAGAAATCAATCTTCGCGGGATTAGAAATAGAAGGGGGCAGCGGTTCTGGTGGAGGGGGCTCGCGGCCTCTCGTGGGGATGCAGCCGTGGCGTGATGCGATGCGTGGAGAAGTGAGAGGAACAAATAAGAGAAATATAAGCGTCGGGTATCGAAGGAGAGAAAGAGGGAGAATGAGGCAGAGGTGGAGGAGGGAAAATCAATGGTCATGCAGGGCAGCAGAGTGGGCAAGCTGCGGCCGCAGAGGGTTCAAACAGGGGACACGTTCCTCTGACCGATGAGGTCCACTGGCTCTGAAGCCAGAGGCTGACCCGCACTCACTCCCACACACAGCTCTCATACCCCCACTCCTGCTCCCCCCTTGACCTCGCAGGGCTGTTGGACCCTCCGCTCCCTCGGACATTCCCAGACCCCGGGAGCCCCCGGGCCACTTAGTCATAACAGGCCGAGTTCAGGGCACTGTAACCCGGGGGCATGGCGGCGCTATCTCCGCTCCCACAGACAGACAGACAGAGGGGTAAGAGAGCCACCTGGGCAGGGGTCAGAGAGAGGCCACGACGCACTGAATCAAAAACCAAACTACAGGCTGTGTGTTGGCTGGCATGTAGAGATTTTAAAGATCATTATTAACTCCAAACTTCCACCAAAACAAGGATTTTATTTGTGTAAATCTGCAGCTGTCTCCAGGTCATTCTAAGTTTGAGACTGAGTTGATTTCCTGTGAGAGCTTGTAGCACTCTGACACAACGTGTTGTGAAACACTTTGATTTAGTATGAGAGGGTCAGCTGGAACAGAAAATGTTGCACTATATTTGGAAAGACGGAGCTCAGTATATTTGGATTTTTTTTTTTTTTTTATGTAATGAGGACTGTGCACTTGTCTGAACTTCTGATTGGCTGGTGAAAAAAACCCTTTAAACTGGTTTAACAAACCTTTAAACTGGTGCAACATGTATTCATTAGAGAATCTAACAGTTAAACATATTTGATGAAAAGCGTCCAAATAGAATCGCATGAATAAAACAAAACGGAATAGAACAGTGAGAAAAGTGATCGTGAGCCAATCAGTGATCATTATTTACCGCCTGGTGGCTTCTGGTCATTTTCCGGCCTGGTAACCTGACCTGCAGCTGGAGGAGTGTGTATGTGTGTGTGTATGTGTGTGTGTATGTGTGTGTATGTGTGTGTGTGTGTGTGTGTGTGTGTGTGTGTGTGTGTGTGTGTGTGTGTTGGGTTTGGCAAATGGGCCAAAAGCTTTCGTTTAGTTTCAATGCCATGAAATGTTTCCCATGTGGTGTAACTGTTGAAAATGTAACAAACATGTGTGAGCATGATTTTGTTTTGATTTAAAGTGCAGCAAACCTCTGCACAGATACAAAGTAGCTTTAATGTCAGTGTGAACGCAAAGAAAAGAGCCATAAATCATCCAAATGTTGCTGTGATGTGCTCTGATGGAGGCAGTATGACGGGGTGCAGACACGATGTGGTGCAGCTCTGCTTTAAGGTTTCATTCTGTAGGCCTGACCCTCTTCTAAAACTGCAAGATTCAAGATTTTTATTTGTCACATGTTCATACAGATGTGCAGTGAAATTTAAAGACTGTTCCACAAGGCCATGCAATAAACACTCAAAATGTACAAATACACATAAATACAGTAATGTAGAAATATAACATTAAAAAATAATATTAAAATGTGGAAAATGTAAACAGTGTAAAGTGTCACTGTGTTTGATATCTCATAATGTTGCATCCTGAGGAGATCAGACTTTACACTCACCTGTTGAAGGAGAAGCTGCAGGTGTGGAGTTACAGATTTCATGGGTGGTAATAAGCAGCTTGTTGAACATTCAAAGTGTTGATATGTTAGATGATTCTCAGAGCTGCAGAGCGATGACTGCGAGTCATTAGTCTCACAACATTATGCAGCAGCTTCTCTGGTGTCGTTCAGCTAAACATTTAAATGAAAGTAATCACATTACTTTATTACTAAACTACAAACTACTAAACTGAAAGAGAGCCGGGTCAAAGGTCAGAGAAATGTGTACCAGGATGCTTTTAGTTTGATTATTTACAAAGAAAGACTCACATGATCTCTTAATATTTACAGTGCATGTTGTGCAGTTTCCGTAACGTAACCGCCGCCATCTTGGATTTTTGGCGTCTCCCATATAAGGTCTATAAATAAACTTCGCGCCGGGACAGGTGGAGGTGTTCCCGTGACGTAGAATGCGGTAAAAATTAATCAATCGTATCAAAGATGGTGACGTCACATCGTATTGCCACGATATTGATAATATTTATTATTCATGTTAATTATCTAATTAATTTAATTTAATTTCCATGTTTTATTAATATCATTTATATAATCAAATAGTTTCTTCAATTGAATTCTGTTGATTTGTGATAATACATTTGAATCATATTTAAATAATTCATGATATTATTAAATAAATGTGAAAAATGAATTTATAACTGACTGTCTAAAACAATAAAAGTCAACATAGTGAAATTAAAAGACGTCATAAACGTCATTGTTACCTATAATATCATATTTGTTTAAGACATTGTTATTGATTATTACTGGTCATACTTGATTGCAGTCTGCGCTTTTACTTTGAAGGCGAGTTTTCCACTCACCTGTCGCAAACCGGATATAAAAGCATGCAGGTAGATCGGCGCCAATCCTATAGTTTTGGATATGGAGACACACGCGGACGTGCTCGCGCTGCTCACCTTTAGCACCCAACATGAAGCTGCACGAGGTACGAACCGCGTTTTCATCCTTTTATCGACTTTAATGTTGTTTACATGTTAAAGGTGTTTGTGCTATTTGTTTGTTTTGAGCGTGACGTTGGGGAAAATAATATCCGGCCTTTAGCTTACCTGGCTGTTTGTTATGAGGCCTGTGATTGGCTAATGTGTGTGTGTGTAAGGTGAGGGTCAGCTGGGAGCTGGTTTAATAACTTTTATAAGAAGAGACAGAAAACTTTACTGTCCTCTAAATAAGCTTCACAACACTTCCTCTTCAAATGGCACTGAACTAACCAATCAGGGGCCAGGATTACTTAGCTCCAGGTAAACCGAGTAAACACATGCACGAGCATTCTTTCATGTAAAACATAAAGTAGATATCATACATGCAGGTTTCTAGCCGTGGCTGATTTACAATCTCCTGACCCCGACTCTCATTTTATAGACTTAAAGAAACTCAGAAACAATTACAGACAAAACAATACAAAACAGTCCATGCTCACTGACCGTCTTAAAGACCTGTGTCTGTTATTTCATGTCAGATGCTTAATGTGTTCTTAATGCTCCTCATCCTGGTGCTCAAAACATCTTTCAGCATTTAATGACTTGAATCACTAATCTTTAACATGGTCGCGTTATAAATGTTTTCACATGTTTATACGACAAATATAGAACACTTAATTATACAAGTAGTGAAGTTCTTAACTCTATTTGTTGGAGCTGTGTGAGTCGACCTTAGTGTCTGTGACGCCTGCTACAGAAGAGGCTTTCTATGCATGGGGCGGCTGTGGCTCAGTGGTAGATTCCTTATTTTCTGTTCCTGTGAATGTTCAAACTTCATGTGTAAGATCTGCAGCTGTCACCGCTACACATCGTGCACCGCGCTCTTTTTTTAACTCTCATTGCTCTTTGCTGCTGTAAGGCAGTAACACATTTCTCTACTGTGGGATAAATAAAGGTTTATCTTATCTAATCAAAGTGTTGAAGTGTTAAGTTCAGTCTTTTTATTTATTGGCAGTTTGCAGAGCTCGTGTGATTTCAAAGTCGCCTCACCAACACTGATGGTTCTTACCTCAGTCCACTCGAGAAGTTAAAGTGTATCAATACTGTCTTTCACCATCAGCAGAAAGGTCAGAGGTCACAGCAATTTCGGACATGTTACAGATCATTGATCCTCAAATGTTACCTCCTCAACAAAAGGATCAAATTTCATGCAGTGAAAATCTGCCAAAGTCCAGTTTAACATGCAGGTGAACCACAAGACAGAGTTTACAAGTTTACAGAGCAAAGAGTCCAGTGTGTGAAGGACTTTCCCCTGACAGA